TTCATGTAGTCAACCGCAGTTTGAGTCCCGGACTCGGTGGCTTAAAACTCATGCCGGGCATGTGTGCGTGCGTGCCCAAGATCCCAAGAGGAGAATGGAGGAGAAGGGATTGCTGCGTGGCCATCCCCGCTGGGAGGTGATTTCTGAACCCACTGATAATCTTACATGACCAAGCTTGCAGTTAGTCCTATTTCACAAGTAAGAATAAAACAGTTGTAATAAAGAAGAATTTCTTGCGAGTTTTTGGAATGGGGCTAAAAAATTGGTTTACAATAGCTAAAAACTGGAAACAACCTAAATGCCCATCAACTACTAAATGGATAAACAAATTGTGGTATAGCTTTCTAATAGAGTACCTCCAATACCAGCCATATAAAGGGACATTCTACTATTACATATGATACCTGGCTGCATCTCAAAATAGTATGCTTAAAGAAGCCAAACCCTAAAGACATAGTTTATAATTTCATTTACATGACATTCTATAAAAATACATATTAGTGAGAAAACATCCTCCCCATGAAGGAAGGCCATGCCACAATCCCTTCTTCTCCATTCTCCACTTGGGATTTTGGGCACACACACACATACATCCCCGGTGTGCGTTTCAACCCTCCAGATCTGGGACTTGAACCAGGGTTGGCCATGGGGAAGTCCAGCAATGTAACCATTGTGCCATATGCTAGTCCCCCTTTAGCACATGTTAAAAAGAAAGAAATAGCAGGAAACCTTCCCCTTACCTGACTTGAGTGGGATCAGAGTCAAGCCTCTGGTCTTCCATCCTTCTCTGAGGGCAGTTTTCCGTGTCCCCTTCTCTGCCATGAAGGTATTTCCTGCATTCCTTTTCTATAATGGTGGTTTCTTGTGACTACCTTCTTGTTCCTCCCCTCTTCCACTACAGCAATGTCAAGACTTGCCTTGGTGCAGGGGTGTGGTGCCCCACTTCACTCATCTCTCTCCTTTTCCCTCTGCATATATCTGCTTTGGCCATGCAGGGAGCACAGCACCACCAGGGAGGCGGCAGTGGTGGTGGCAATGCTGGCATGGTGGCCTCTGTGGCTCTGATGTGGGCTTCCCAGGACAAGAAGGTGAAAGGAGAAAGAGTGCACCCCCCACACACACACAAACCATGCCTCCTGCCAGGTGTCTGCAGCTGGTACTAGCTCTGGTCAGGTCTTCCAGCAAGAGACCTGGGAGATATCCTTCTCTAATTTCTGGATTGGGAAACTGAGGCAAATTCTAGGTGCTAGAGTCTGAGCCAAGTCAAGGCTGAATGTGGGTAGTCCAGGGTCCTGAGAGGCCCAGATGTGGGCAGAACCTGAGACCGTCTAGGTAGTGTGGGGACTGGATGCCTGTGGATTCAGGGCAGTAACTTCTGTCTGTGCCTCTGTTCCAGGGACCCTAGAAGGTCCTGAGAGCCCGGGACACTGGGAGCCACCTTGTGCTCTCTGTTCCCCTTGCAGGCCAGCAAGACTGAGGAGAACGGCTCAGACAACTTCGTGCACTCCATGGATCCACAGCTGGAGTGGCAGGTGCAGACCATCTGGAGCCTGGTAGACTCATATGTGGCCACTGTCAACTAGACTGTGCAGGGTCTCATGCCTAAGACTGGCATGCACCTCGTGATCAATGTGAGTTCAGGGCTGGGGTGGCGGGGCTCTCATGGCAGCCAACATGATAATGTGGGCTCAGTCGATAACTTTACATTGCCCAGTAGCTAAGTTGAAAGAAGTAAAATAAACGGAAATAATCTTAATAACACATGTCTTAAATCTCAACATCCAAAATACTATCTTTTCAACATTTAATCAATCAACTGAAAAATACTTGCAAGATTTTTAAAAAAATTTTTCTTCAGGGCATTGCTGGAGAGAAACAGAGACAGAGAGAAAGAAAGGGAGAAATCACCCCCGCCCATGGGGGGGAATGGTCAGACCACAACTCCTTCTCTTCCATTCTCCTCTCAGGATTTTGGGCATGCACACACAAACTCTGCATGTTCATCAAGCCACCAGGTCAGGACTTGAATGTCACAGTTGGTCATGTGGGTCCAATGCCCTAACCAGCTCATCACCTGCTGGCCCTTAACAAGATGTTTTATGTACTTTATTTTATACTAAATTATCCAGATCTAATTCGGACATTAAAATTTCATTGGAAATACTTAATCTGAACTGAGATTTTATGAAATTTACAGTTACAAAATTAGATTTGCATATCCAAATTGTTCTGAATATGATTAAATGTTTTCCAGGAGGGGCCAGGAATCTGTATCTTTTTTTTGG